CTACTGTATGAGAAAAAAAATGAGGAAGGGGAGAGAAATCTATTGACACCTCGGCGTTTTCCCTCTCATTTATGGTTTTGGACAAAATGTTTTCGATTTTCGAACATTAGGGACTAAATGTCGACAAGAAATGATAAAGGACCAGATATAGACTTCTTGCGAATTGAGGGACCAAAAACTTTTTTTTCTAGAAAAAAATGGCGCGTCTCTCTACTCATGCCACTTCTTTCCTCGTGGATCCGTGTGCTTCAAGATGGTCCCCCTTCCTGCTATAGGCCATCACATTGCTATTCTTTCCCGGTTATCCCCAACTCACTCGCCCTCGTCCTCACGCCACGAATACGATACGCTTCCTCCCCATCTTGGATGTCGTCGTCTCTACCTTTTGCAGCATGCGTTTCTCCTTGATCTCGCTATTGTGTTGCGCCGTTGGTTCTTTGTGGTCACAACAGCGATGAGTTCATCATATTTAACTACTCACGGCCATGCTCAATGGCGAGTTACTTACTGAAAAGTCACAAATGGGCGGAAATACAATGCCTCGCCACAATCACTGGATGTCTGGATCACAAGCACAATGAGCAAAGATTCGTCGGTGCTCCATTTCCATGCAGAACATGCCTACATTTTTCTTACGCTTACACAGGCGTACATATAAATATCTCTTGTGCAGACAAAACACTATTCGAGGTCTACAGAATATCACTATCCTCCGCTGCCACTCGACAATGACGTAAACACCAAAGGTCAAGGGCACCTACAAGTACAACAACACAGCAAGGAAAATACAGGGACAGATCTGCCGACGTCGGCGCCGAGCACACCACCTTTCATGGATCCCTTCGGTCCATTTCGTGTCGATTTCCTAGGGACATACAGTAACAGTACTACTACATGACAGGAGCACGCAAAAAACCACACCTCGCAGGAGAGATCACGGGTCAGCCGCACACCGCCTTGAGGATCCTCTTGGCCTCCTGCTCCCCGTGCCTCAGCGCGGCCAGCCTGCACGACTGCTCCGTCAGCAGCTTCTGCATGGTCGGCGTCTCGCTGGGCACGATGGCGAAGCCGTCGTGGTACTCCTCCATGTCCTCGGCGGCGAGCTGCCACACTATCGCGCCGGCGCCGGCGCCGCCCCTCTTGGCCGACTCGTGGACGATGTCGTACACCGACTTGTAGAAGGCGTCGCGCTGCGACTGCTCGAACCCCTTGACCAAATGCGACAGCCCGAACTCCGTGAGCACCACGGGCTTGCCGCCGAGCTCCGTGTCGCCGTCCTCGAAGTGGGAGCTCACCCACTTCGTCACGAACTTGAGCTTCTCTTCCAGATTCGCGTCCAGCAGCCTGCAATTTAGCTGGCGTCTCATCCACTGCTTCCACGAATTCAGAGTACTCGTAGTAGTAGCTAATTTGTTGATGGGGATGGTTACCAGGTGTCCGGGTAAAGGTGGACGGAGGCGAAGTCGATGTCGGAGATCTTGGAGTTGCGGATGAAGTCGAGGCCGTAGTTGTTGAACCAGTGCCCCGGATTCACGCTCAGCTTCTCCGGCGGGCTCGTGGGGCCGTAGAACCCCTCCGTGCCGACGGTCAGCAGGTGCCGACGGTCGATCGACTTCACGTACCCCGCCATCTCCTCGATCCAGCGCTGCCCCCATCACGCAACCAAATCAGAAAATGTCTTGAAAGTAAATGAACACAGTTACATCTAGTATCAAATTCGCACGGTAGATGCAGATCGGCAATAAGTGTGATAGATAGTAGCATCGATGGACTCACCTGCAGAGTGTTACCGGACGGATCGGTAATGCATCTGGGCTCGTTCATCAGCTCCCACGCCAAGATGGTAGGGTCGTCCTTGTACTGCACCCCCGTCAAGTGGTTCGTCCTCGTCAACAATGCCTGCACCGAAACAAAAGTAAAAGTATGCAACTGTAACCACTGTAAAATTGCCACCGACACTTTTTTGTTTCTCCGTCAATGGGATGCTAGAAACATAAAAGAAATCAGCTAGCTAGACATTGATGCTCCGGGCAGGATGCTGCAACTGTTCAGTGTTTACCTTGAGGTAGACTTTGAAGTAGTCGCGGATGGCGGGGTCGAAGAAGAAGGAGTCGTTGGAGGCGGTGAGGCCGACGCCTTCGTCCCACGCCCACCGCACGTACTGCGTCTTCCCGCCGTACGCCTCCAGGTTGTTGGCCAGGCTGAGGATGAGCCGCACGCCGTGCCGCCGGGCCTCCACGACCACCATGTCCAGCGCCTTGAAGACGCGCTCGTCGAAGTGTCCCGGGGAGAGCTGGAGCGCGTTGTAGGCGCCGTCGTTAAAGGCCCAGGTGCGGCACACCGTGAGCCCCATCCCGGTGGCGGCGCGGAACATGTCCGACACGCGGTGGCGGCTGGCCGGCTCCACGGCCTGGTCCATGAGCCAGTACGAGTTCCACCCGTTGATGTAGAATGGGCGGCCCTCCAGGAAGAGCTGCGCGCCGCGCCGCTCCACGAACGGCAGGGACGCGTCGTGGGACCGGGACGCACCGGGGGACGGGAGGAGGCCGGGGAAGCGGAAGTCCACCTCGCCGAGGAGGGAAAAGTAGAACACGGCCAGCAGGGAGGCCAGGCCGAGGATGTGGTACACGAACAGGCCGTTGCACGCCGCCATTGTGTGGTGCCGGCGGGGTGTTCTTGGCGAGCTTTTGCGGTGCTACTGCTAGAGGAGCGCCATTCCGAGTGGGGGGTGGAGCCTCTACTTCTAGAAGGCGGGAGTGAAGTAGGAGTGGACTAGTGGGATGGGAGGCAGCGGCGGTGAGGCGTGAAGCAGGAGGGGGGACCTGCACACTGTGACACTGGTGGTGGGAGCTTTGCCCGAGGTAAACAGTTATATTCGGCGAGGAGTAGGGTTGAAGGCTACTGCTATTACTTTGCTTATAGGACCTTCACAGAATTCTAATTGTAATTACCTCCTGTCCAACTTGCCCCCTTCATTAGGGCAACTCCACCACGATCATCGAATCACCCGCAAATGTTTGGACCAGACACTACAGACACTTTTGATCATCCATCGAGTGTCATCGATTTCGTTCGGACCAAACCGTACGTCGAAATCCCGCAAATTGCAACTAAGGAAGTGTTGAGCATCTCTAAACATCTTCAAAGTGTCAAGTTTGCTAAAATCAATCGTCGGGCCAATATGATGGTGCATGAGATTGCTAAATTTAGTTTTATTTTTTTTTCTTCGAAATGACAGTTATCCTGCATTCATTAAGAAAAAAGAGTTGCTCAGTTAATCAGGAAAAACCGAGCGAAAACCACATTGCCAAGTTAATTATGGAGAACCGGGCGAAAACCATCACCACCTCTAAGCGGCACACTTAAGATACCCCATGCACACCACTTCAAAGAGGATCTCGTCAAGACAACACGCAGGCATCATCGTCATCACTCCTCCCTAGAGACGTCATCACTATCCTAAACCCTAAAGTTGACCGGGATGATATCATCCTCGACAAGCGGCCGAAGTCGACCTCATTCAAGCCGGCCAATGACATAGTCAAATTCCAAGTGCACCCTACGGGCCCACCTAAAACAATGTCAATTGGGGCAAACCTCGAGGCGGAAATTGACGAGGACCTACGCAACTTCCTTAGAGAAAACAGGGATATATTTGCCTGGCATCCCTCGGATATGCAAGGGATACCCTACAGACTTGCCGAACACGGCTTGAATATCTTGAAGGGTGACGTGGCTTAGGCTGCGTCGGTATTTTCCCAAAAAGGAAGGGATGATGTAGCACAACTATGGTAAGCACTTTCCTTAGTTATGAAACCAAGGTTATCAATCTAGTAGGAGAACCAAGCAACACTATGTAAACGGTACCTGCACACAAAGAACAAATACTTGCAACCCAACGCGCGGTTCTGGAACTTGCGGCGGTTGGAATTGTGTTTTGATCGCTCTCCTGGGGTTTCTGGAATGTTGGGGTATTTATAGAGTTGAGAGGCGGTGGAGGAGACCTCCATGGGACCCACCACCCATCAGGGCACGCTAGGGGGCCCACACCCTGTCCACAAGGGTGGGGGCGTGCCCACCCCCCTGGGGCGCGGCCTCTGTCCTTGTGGGCCCCCTCGACCTTCACCGACCTCAACTCCAACTCCATATATTCACATTCAGGGAGAAAAAACCCAGAGAGAAGGATTCATCATGTTTTACAATATGGAGCCACTGTCAAGCCCTGTTCTTCCTCGGGAGGGCAGATCTGGAGTCCGTTTTGGCTTCCAGAGAGGGGAAATCATCGCCATCGTCGTCATCAATCATCCTCCATCACCGATTTCATGATGCTCACCGCCGTGCATGAGTAATCTCATCGTAGGCTTGCTGGATGGTGATGGGTTGGATGAGATTTACCATGTAATTGAGTTAGTTTTGTTAGGGTTTGGTCCCTAGTTTCCACTATGTTCTAAGATTGATGTTGCTATGACTTTGCTATGTCTAATGCTTGTCACTAGGGCCTGAGTGCCATGATTTCGGATCTAAACCTATTATTTTTCATGAATATATTTGTGTTCTTGATCCTATATTGCAAGTTATAGTCACCTACTACGTGTTATTATCTGGCAACCCCGGAGTGACAATAGTCGGGACACTTCCCGACGATGACCGTAGTTTGAGGAGTTCATGTATTCACTAAGTGCTAATGCTTTGGTCCCGTACTCTATTAAAAGGAGGCCTTAATATCCGTTAGTTTCCAATAGTACCTCGCTGCCACGGGAGGGTAGGACAAAATATGTCATGCAAGTTCTTTTCCATAAGCACGTATGACTATATTCGGAATACATGCCTACATTATATTGATGAATTGGAGCTAGTTCTGTGTCACCCTATGTTATAGTTGTTGCATAATGAGCCATCCGACATAATTATCCATCATTGATCCATTGCATACGAGTTCGTTTCATATTGATCTTTGCTCTGTTACTTTTTCCGTTGCCACTGTTACGATTACTACAAAACTGCTACTGTTACTCTTGCCACCGTTACCGTTACTTCCATACTACTTTGCTACTAAATATTTTGCTGCAAATATTAAGTCTTTCAGGTGTGGTTGAATTGACAACTCAGCTGCTAATACTTGAGAATATTCTTTGGCTCCTCTTGTGCCAAATTAATAAATTTGGGTTGAATACTCTACCCTCAAAAACTGTTGCGATCCCCTATACTTGTGGGTTATCAATAATATAACAGCATGGAACAATCAATAATTATAGATACATTGGACATGTATCAAAGGGCTACAAGCCTTTCAAACAAGCACTTCGGCACTTCTTTGAGCCCAAGCATCAAGCAATGGGCGAAGAGCTGGCCAAACTTCTTGAGGCCGGATTCATAAGAGACATAAAACACCCCGATTGGCTCGCCAATCTGGACATGGTACCTAAGAAGGATAGGTCCTAACGCATGTGCGTCGACTCTAAATACCTTAACAAAGCTTGCCCCAAGGACCCATTCCCACTACCACACATTGATCGGATAGTGGACGCCACAAATGGGCACGATTCGTTGTGTTTTCTAGACGCCTACTCAGGGTATCATCAGATAAAGATGAAAGAATCCGACCAGGCTATGACCGCTTTTATTATGCCCTGCGGGCTGTTTTGCTTCAATACAACGCCTTTCAAGCTCAAAAACATTGGTGCGATGTACCAGCACATGATCCAAACATGCTTGGAAAAACACATCGGAAAGACCATTGAGGCCTATGTCGACAATGTGGTTGTCAAAACTAAACACGTTGGGCAGTCGGTCGACAACCTCCGCAACACATTTATCAGCCTACAGGAATATCAAATTAAGCTCAACCCAGAGAAATGTGTCTACGGTGTACCAACGGGCAAAATCCTCAACTTTATCGTGTCTAGCCGAGGAATCAAAGCCAACCCGACAAAAATACGAGCCCTGGCCCGATTAGAGGTGCCAACCCGATAACCGTGGCACCTGAAGTTCCCTTAAGTGACATAATTAATAGCAGGGATGCTACAGGGCGCATAGCCAAGTGTGCCATAGAGCTCTTACCCTTCAAAATAACATAACAGATGCGCCGAGCTATTAAATCTCAGGTGCTGGCAGACTTCATAGTCGAATGGATAGTGGTCAAGCTCCCTATAGAGTATAACACATATTCACACTGGACCATGTATTTTGATGATTCAAAAAATGCTCGCTGGGCTAGGGGCCGGAGTAGTGCTCACGTCGCCAACTGGCGACAACATTCGATATGTGTTACAGATCATGTACACTGACTCCAATAATGCGGCCAAATATGAAGCCCTTCTGCATGGGCTCTAGAAAGGATCGAGAAGAGGTGTCTAGAGGGGGGTGAATAGACTCTTAGCAAAGAAAAATAGCAGTTTTTTATTTCTTTAAGTTAAGGTGGAGTTTTAGCACAAGTTTAATCATTCACAATACATTTCAAGCAAGCATGGCAAGAGTATATGAGCAGCGGAAAGTAAAGCATGCAACTTGCAAGAAAGTAAAGGGATGGGATTGCAGTATGCAAATGCAATTGGAGACTCGGAGACTTTTGGCGTGGTTCCGATAGGTGCTGCTATTGTACATCCACGTTGATGGAGACTTCAACCCACGAAGGGTAATGGTTGCGCGAGTCCACGGAGGGCTCCACCCATGAAGGATCCACGAAGAAGCAACCTTGTATATCCCACCATGGCCATCGCCCACGAAGGACTTACCTCACTAGGGTAGATCTTCACGAAGTAGGCGATCTCATTGCCCGTACAAACTCCTTGGTTCAACTCCACAATCTTGTCGGAGGCTCCCAAGTGACACCTAACCAATCTAGGAGACACCACTCTCCAAAAGGTAATAAATGGTGTGTAGTTGATGAACTCCTTGCTCTTGTGCTTCAAATGATAGTCTTCCCAACACTCAATTCTCTCTCATAGATTTGGATTTGGTGGAAAGATGATTTGAGTGGAAAGCAACTTGGGAAGGCTAGAGATCAAGATTCATATGGTTGGAATGGAATGTCTTGGTCTCAACACATGAGTAGGTAGTTCTCTCTCAGAAAATGAATGCTGGAAGTGTAGGCACGTTCTGATGGCTCTCCTCGGCAATGAAGGAAGGGTGGAGGGGTATATATAGCCTCCACACAAAATCTAACCGTTACACGCAATTTACCAAACTCGGTGGGACCGAATCAGAAAACTCGGTCAGACCGATTCAGTTCATAATGTGACCGTTAGGTATTTCGGTGGGACCGATATGATCAACTCGGTGGGACCGATGTGCTAGGGTTAGGGTAAAACCTCATCTCGGTTTGACCGATTACACAAACTCGGTGGGACCGATTTTGGTAATAAGCAAAACAGGGAGTTGGTCAAGCAAACTCGGTGGGACCGATTGCTTATCTTGGTGGGACCGAAATAATTGCAACAGGCAACAGAGAGTTTGCAAGCCCATCTCGGTGAGACCGAGATCCCATCGGTGAGACCGAATTGATTAGGGTTTCTGGCAGTGGCTATGTCAAGTGAACTCGGTGGCGCCGGATAGATCAAATCGGTGGGGCCGAGTTTGACTTTTGGTTTGGGACATATGTGGATATGAGAAAGTGGTTGAGGGCTTTGGAGCATATCACTAAGCACTTCGAGC